CGGGTGTCTGAGCCCTTACTCCATTTGTAGCACTCCTCTCGACTAAACCAACCCGGGCACTTCTGCAGCGACAGACCTGTGTTCAGAGGAAAGGGGCTTGCTCTTTTCACTGTATTTCTCTAAAGAGGCAAAAATTGCCTTGTGGCAAGGTCTTATGGAAGTCAGAAGAATTTAGGCGCTTTGGGCACTTTGAAAAACGTTGCCCAGCGTGCTGATTCCCACAGTCCCATACTGCCGCGTCTTGGCAAATGCTACAGTGCAGTTGCACACCATCAGTGCAAAAATGTGCAGCATATTGAAAAGTGAAAATGTGGCAGAGTATAAAAGAAACAGAATTTGATATTAAAAAAAAATTAAATAACAGGCGGGAAACTGGACTGGACTGTTTTCCCCATTTCCCTATTCCATAATTCAGACTACTCATTACACATTTCCGCTTTTGCTTCAAGTTTTAATAAAGTGGCCACTGAATTTCCCGCCTATCATACAAGGCGCTGCAGAATTCAAAAACCTTGACCCGGCTGTTAGGCCCAGCTGGTAACAAAATATGTAGAAGGGAAGGAAAACACCGGTCTAGGAGAAGGAAGAAAATGGAGAACTCTAAGCTAATCAATTCTTTTAAAAAGAGGATGGTTACTATTCAAGTTGTAATTTATTGAGATAAAGGAACCATGCATCCCAGAAAGACTTAGGTTGCCTGCAGGGGAAGGTTATTCTTTTTCTCTTTCTTTCCTTTTTTTTTTTTTTTTTTTTTTAGAGAAGACCCTTGTGTGTGCATTTGCAGCTTATAGCTAAGAGGTTGGAGCTAGAAGCTAATCAGCCATTCTGTCTCCTATCTGTTGATCTGCTGGTGTTGGGGGAAGGGGAATGTGGGCAAACAGGCATTAAATTCCACCGGCAGGCGACGGGAAGGTATTCCTTGATAAGCAGCATCCAAGATGATGAGCCGTAATGCAAAGCCCCTGTGAGGAAGCAGGGGAAGAGGCAGGGAAGGCTTTAGCCATCTGTCTCAACCCAGCCTTGCTCAATGCTCACCAGAGCAGAGGTCACCACCAACAATAATAACCCTCGAGAAGCCAGACGTATGCTTTCCATTCACCAATAATCTACAAAGCGTCTTAGGGTGAAATCCTGGCTCCTCTGAAGTCAATGGGAGCTTTGCCAACGACTTCAGTGGAGCCAGGTTTTCATCCCAGATAATTTTAAAGCAACCCCCAGGCTTAGAGATAAAACCTCCTGGGAGTGGGCGCAGGCAGGAGCGAGCTGAGGAGGGCAGATTGGGGCTCTACCAGCTATGCTTTTCTGAAAAGCTATCAATCTTACAGACAGGATGCCTCCACGGTCCTGGAGCAATACCAGGATTGGCAATAAAGGGGTGAAGTGGACAAGCAGGTAAGCACCAATATCTTTTAACTACTGGGACAACTGGGGTGCAGGACCCAACTGAGCCATGATGCTCTGACATAAAAACCTGTGGTGCTTCCACATCTACATCCTCCTCACTTCTGAGATAAAGCATATGAAGTGACTTATCTGTGTTATAATTGTATCATACTGTATTTTTTTCTCCCCCTTCGTTATCCAGCAATTCTCACAGTGGCCTTGAAGGATGTCACCTGGTGGCACTCATCCAAAATGAGGATTTTTCACACTTGACCAGGTATAATCAATGTACTATTCATTTCAGTCGCTAGGACCACCCAGACTCTGTAAAGTGCTATGTCTCAGTGAAGCAATATTTTGTTTTTCAGGACTCAGAACACCAAGTGTAGGTGCCTGCACTGCAGTGTAGGGGGGTTGGCCCTCGGCAGTGCGGTGGAGAGCACGTCGGGTGGTCAGCCGCGATGGCCACGGCAGGAGACGGGAACACCACCGGCAGGACATGCCAGTGTCAGATTCATCGCAGATTCAGCCCTGGACAGAGTGTCCTGGCCTTCAGCACTGAAGGTAGCACGGTGGCTGTGGACAACTGTTGTGCATTTTTGTTGACAGGCTGGTGTAAGGGAGGTCACGGGGCCTTTCGTCTGGCAGCACCATGACTGGAGCCAACAGACCCCTGAAACACCTCCCCGGGAGAGGGTCCTCACCACGGGGTGGAGGGTGTAACATGGACAGCCGCAACCCCCTTTTGAAGCTGTGCAACGAGGAGCATAGATTCTGTGGGGCTGAGAGAGGCAGGACACCAGACCGTGAGCTACCGTGGTTTACTGACTCCTCACACGTCAGCTGAGCTGCACTACCTGACCATGCAGTGCACTTGTCATATCCCAAATGCCGCATAAAATGTATGAATTTAATCCCGTTTTGAAGAGCTCGGGCTCAGTGTGTTTCCCCTGGCACTGGTGAGAGGCTGGGAGTGCACAGGAGCTGAGTCTGCCTTTATCACTGAAGAGAAATGGAAGGTAAAAGCTGGAGGGGTGAGGTGTGAGCTGTGAACCTTCACAGGGAAGGAGCTATCGAAGGAACACACCTCCCTTACCCCAGCACTACCATCAGATCCACTTGATGATTTACCTCCCTGCTGGGTGCCCATAATCACATCCCAGGAGCAGCATCCCCCTCAGGCTGCCGATGGATTTCCTCACCCAGGCAAACCTGGACTTCACGGAAGCTGCTGGAGCAAGTGTTCACCCAGCCGAGAAGAGAGCTTCTCCCTTCATTTTCAAGTCCATCTCTCCTACGGGTTGCAACTCAGCTGTCTGGATTTATCGATGAAGTCATCTGCTGATTTAACAGTGTTTGTGAATTTAAATTGGCACCTATGGTGCTCGCGCGGGCGCACTTTCCTTGCCGGTCGCCCCAGCGCAGCCATGCAGGCACTATCGCCGTACCCAAGTGCTGCTTTTATTCCGATTTTCTCAAGTGGGAAGAGGCTTCGGTTTCTTGCTGTCACCCGCTCGTTGCTAATAGTAGCGTAGCTGTCCCTCACTGTCTTTGCACAACAGCTTGATGCATAAAACCTAACGTCCCACGAGGAAATGCGTACCAGTACGGGCCCATCTCATCTGGATTAAAGATGTCTTTTGGTTCAGTCTCTTTCATAAGGCAAGGGAGAACTTACATTACCCAGAGCTCAGCGGCAGATCCATGTGTGTGTTTTTCACCAGGCTGTCACTTGGACTGTTTCGCATTACGAGCCTTCAGTCTCGCTCTGGCTGTCGATTTGTACTATTAAGCACTGAAATACAGAACTCACGTGCCAAGTTTCCACTTTTCTTCGGCAGCCGGGATCCACCGGCAGTCATTGGGGTAGGGTCAGGCTTTGGCAAACCTGGAGGACACTTCTCCTGCCTCTTCGCTGCCCATCTCCCCAGGCCTGTCTCCGTAACTCCGGCCCCGTTCCGTGCTCACTGCCGCTGCAGTGCCTGCCTGGGGGCACAGCCGCCGGCTGCCAGGACCGCAGCCATGGCGGCAGGAGGAGAGCCCAGGCCCAGCCATGACAGCTGAAGTACATCACTGTTTTTATCTTCTCAATATTTTGATTAGCCCAAGGAATGTTTGGGTTAAAAAAAAAAAAACACATTTTTTAAAAAAAAAAACATGTGACGGTCCCACAGGCTGTTACGGCTTTATGTAACATTGAAGAGCTCTGTATGATTTGCCGCACAACCAAGAGCATCAGCGAGATATTGGGTACTTATCAACGAGTGATTTCATGAGACGGAGGGGTTCTCCCTCGCTGTAACGCCCCCAGGGCAGCCCCGTGGGAGTCCCGACCCTGCATGATCATCTGTGCCGATCGTTCCCACTGCAGCGCTAACACGGAACATGTTTGCGGATTAAAATTCCTTAAATCTGAAGGTTTTGGTTTTGTGGCTTTTGGTCACATCTTTAATAATATTCCAGTGCAATTATTTTAACCATGTTCCTGCCTGATGGTTAATTATTTACAGTGGTTATCACTGGAAGGGAAACCTATCTGACTGGAAGGGTACAAGACATCATTCCAACTCATTTGTGACCACAGCCTACAGACACACCAAGACCTGCAAGAAACCTCCCACGAGCTCCAACTCTCCTCGCGCCCCAAATCTGCCAGGTCCCTGGGTCGGGCACACCATAGGCAGAAACCCTCACGATGTGCCTCAGCCCCTGCTGGCACCACACGCTGGAAGCACAGCTCACCTTTATGTCGCAGGAACCCTAACCCTGCTGAGGACATTGGTCTCAGACTGAAAAAGTTTCGATGGGGAACACTTTTTCCCCAATTTGCCCATTTAGACATCAAATCAGCCTCCCAGCTGTCACACTCCCGCCCAGGTCCTGATCGCCGGTATCCTCATTTTCACATATAACATTCCTAATTGTGGAAGAATGATGACAAAGATTCCCAAACTCCCATTTTTTGTTAAGGACTTTAATTTTCAAGTTTATTTGAGTTGCGTTTGTTCTTGTAACACTGAGCTGCATCTTCAGCACTCAGAAAGAGGTTTGGCTCCATCAGACTGGATGCAAAGATACTGATTCAGAGCAAGTGATAATCCGACCCTCCTTTTCACGTATTTTCAAATTCACGTTAATTTTAAATGTAAGGGCCCTCCCATCCGTGAAAGAAAGGTTTTTTTCCCACTGCACTGATGCAGTCGGCAACCAAGAGGAAGGGAAACAGTGAGGAGTGTAAAACCCCAGGGGTGCACGTCCCACCCGTGCCTCCTGCCCAGCTGGAGGGGACGTGACACTTGAGTGGGGGCTCCGTCCCTGCTGCAAGCCACTGCGCAAGGTGCAGCCGTGAGCGGGGCAGGAGGTGCGGGTGCCGCGGCGGGGTGCCCCGGCAAACCGGGGCTTGCGGAGGGGCAGGCCGGCACCGGGAGGTGGGGAGCAGGGCGGGGGGGGGGGCTGCGAGGCTGCAGCGGGAGCCGCGGAGAGGGAAAAGGGAAAGGGGGGGAGCCCGGGGGGGGAGGACAGCAGGGGAGGGAGGCAGGGCAGTATAAAAGCATCCGACACGCACCTCTCCCGACACAGAGCGAGGGGGCGAGAAAGTTGGTGTGGAAGCAGCAGCGGGAGCCCGGAGGAGAGCCAGCCGCTTGCAAACACGCACGCACGGTGGCAGGAGAGAGTGCGGAGCTGCCCTGCCGGCCCTAGGGCCGCTGGAGGAAAGAGAGAGGAGAGATGGAGCCAGGTATCCTGCTCCGAGGGAGGGCAGGCAGCTGAAGCTTTCCGCAGCCCTTCGCCCGCCCCCTACCCCCCACCAGTTCCCCACGGCCGAGCCGGGGGGCAGAGAGGAGGAGGAAGGGAGGGGCGGGGGGGGGGGGAAGCAGCAATCTGCTCCTCTTCCCCCCTCCCCTCTCCCCGGGGAGCTCGCAGCCGTCCCGTCGAGGGCTGGGGGTCGCGGGCGGCCCCGCTCCCCGCCGCCCCCGCCGCGAAGGGACGGGACGGGGCCCGGCGGGGCGGGCAGGCCCGGGCGACGCCTCGACGGGCGTCGAGAGGGGAGGGGGGAGCGGCGGGGCGGGCGAGGACACGGCGGGGGGGGGGGGGGGGGGGGGGAAGCTGGTCCAGGGGCCACCCCCATCCCCTCGCGAGGAGGGAGGCGATAGCCCCAAGCTCTCTCCTCCCCTCGGAGCGTCCCGGCTTCCCCGCCATGTGAGAGTCGTCCCCAGCCCCCCCCCCCCCCCCCCCCCTCCGCCTCTCCCTCCCTCCTCCCTCTCACTCGCACACACGCTCCCGGCTCCCCCCTCGCCCCCCCCCCCCCCCCCGCCGTCCTCGCAGCGTCTCCCCGTCGGCAGCCGAGCCGCGCTGCTCTCCGCCGGCCCGCGGCTCCCCGAGGCGGCGGGGGCTCGGCCCGCCCGCTCCCTCCGACGGCCCACGGTGACTCTGGGTTGCAGGGCCGCCCGCAGAGACGCCGCCGGTCCGCGGCCCCGTCGCGGCTACCTGCCGCCCCCCGCCGCAGCCGGGCAGCGCCGGGATTTTCGCCGCCGCCGCGGCGTCCCGCCCCGACGTGGCTCCGCCGTGGTGTGGCGGCCCCCGCTGCTGCTGCTGCTGCTGCTGCTGCTGCTGCCGCCGCTGCCCCGCGCCCGCCGCCCGCCCCGCCGACGCCGAGAGCGGCGCGGTCCCCGCCGCCCGTCCTGCGGCTGCCGCGGCCGGACCTGGGGCCGGGGCCGCTCCGGCGGCGGCGGCGGCGGCTGCCCCGGCCCCGGCGGCGGCGGCGGCGGCGGCGGCGGCGGCCGCCGCGGCTCCTCCTCCTCCTCCGCCTCCTCCACGGCCGCCGCCGCGGGGCCCTAAAGCCGCCCGGCTCAAGAGGATGGTGCGGCTGGCGGCCGAGCTGCTGCTGCTGCTGGGGCTCCTCCTGCTCACCTTGCACATCACCGTGCTGCGCGGCGGCGGCGGCGGCGGCGGCGAGCCCCACGCCCCCACGGGCGACGGCAACCACAGCCAGCGGCAGGTGAGTGCCGCCCCGCCCCCCCCCCCTCCACGCCCGCGCGCGACCAACGGCCGCTCCCTCACGCGCGGCCAACCGTCTCCACCTGCCTCCCTCCCCTGAGGGCTGCCCCGGCCGCGGCCTCCTTCCCGCCCTCCTCTCCCCCCCTCCGCCCGCGGCCGCCCCCCTGGCCGAGGCGCCGGCGCTCCTGCCGGGTACTCACCCACTCGAGGGCTTTCCGTGCGTGGCGCCTGGGAGGTGTCTTCCTTCCCCCCCCCCCCCCCCACACCTTTCCTTGTACACTCTCGCAGGGGACAGAGGTGGGAAACGGCAGGGCCGCGCCGCGGTTTGACGCCCTCGGGGCCGCTCCCGCGCGTGCTGCCGGTGCGTCGCGGGCAGGGCGCGACGGTCATCTCGTGTGGGGCCCGGCCTTGTCAGGCGCGGCGTGGCCCACCCGGGCCCACGCCGCGTCCCCCAGGGCGAGAGGGGACCGAGGAGGTGTATGGTTCTGGGAAAGGCGGGCACGGAGTGCATGGCTTCCCTTGGAAAGTGTCAGGAGACAGGTAGAGATACCCAGCCCTGAAATAGCCAAGGACGCGGCTTGTGACCCAGCCAGTCTGTTCCAGCCTTCCGATCCCATAAAACCAATGGTGAATTATGTCCAGCAGAGGTAAAGGACTTTTTTGTTCTGTTCCCTTATTTTTGCAGGTGGTTCTTTTTTATTCGGTATCACATGCAGCCATTCATTTAAAATGGTTGGAGACAGCGATAAAAGGTGCAAAATCATCAGCAAACCCAGGCGAAGCTTATAAATCTGGTCAGCTGCATGTGCCCTGACCAACTTTTTTCCCCCTGTATCCCAGTGTTAAAGAAAAACCAGCCGCCAAATCGTGCAAAAAAAAAAAATGACAGAAAATGTATAAGTATTATCACCATAAATTTACACAAACCCCTTTATCATCTCAGAAAGAATCATAGTACCAGCAGAGCACGTTTCTATAAAACATGAGGAAAAATAAGCAGAGTGCAGGCCGTAACGATCACTCTGTCTGCATGGGATCCCCGGCTGGTGGTCCAGAAAGTGAAACCACTAGCTGCAGGAGGGAACCCAGAGCTGCAGACTCAACATCCCAGTCACAAACTGGAATCAGGTCCTCAGAAAACCTCCTGTTGAACTTGGTGGGAGTCCTGCTCGGGAGTGCTCGGCCGTGTGCTTTGGGTAAGGCCCCACAATGTTGTTTCTCTTTGAGCTGGAGTTTTATCACCGGCTTGACATTCCAGGATGTTTTTTTTAATATCTTCAAGATTTCTGGTAATAATGTTTATAAATGATGCTTTCTTTCCTCATGGGCACTTGAAATGCCTTTTAAAATGATGTTCCTTGGAAAAGTAAATTTGGAGAGGTTTTTTATGAGGTGTTTGCTATCATTAGAATAACCCTGAATTTGCCTTTTCTTGACAGGCTTGTAGCATAATGAGGGAAACATCTGGGCAAGTGGGAACTCTGGGTGATGCCATTTCCCCGAGGAGCTCTTTTTAGAGCGCTATTGTAAGGTTAGGGTGAAACAAGAGGAAAATCATCTTCAGATAATTATCCTAGAGTATTATCATTGTAGTTGGCTGTCTTGTGAGAATCTGTTGATTGTTGAATTCAAGAGGTTTTTCTGTCTGGTGAGTTTTTACAGATAACTTAATAAAACTCTGTGCCTTTAAGCATCATGATAGCTTTAGCAGTTCATATTTTTCATCGTGTTTTGCCATTTGTAGAATTTAAATTTTTATATACTTCCCAACTGAATTGATTCTGCAGTTATGTATTTGGGAGAGTGTGTCTGTACAAGACATTATGGGAGGAAAGAATATTGATTAGAGCAATCAATAAAACAGAAGGAAGTCTATCAGTTTTCTGGGTTTACAACTTTCGTGGATTCTGTTGCTAGCTGGAAAATACTGTAACCAGCTTTAGAAAACTGTACTCTGACAGGCAGATGCTTCCATTCGGAGCATGCCAGTATAGGTCTCGATGGCAAGTTTGCACTGGGATCTTCAGATTTTAGGGTTTCTTGGGCTGTTACCGTGGCACAAATGCAAAATCCTAGTGCATTTCATTCCCGGGTGAAGAATCAACGTGGAAAGCAAAACTGCACAAACCCAGATTTGCTGGTATAAGCACATATAAATCTCTCAGGTTGCTAGCACTTATACTGAAAAACACCCTGTTGTTTTTTCTGTCTTGGTAGTTCTATAGAGAAAAAATTGTGAGAAGTGATTAGGTCAGTGTTTCATGTAATGAAATTTCATTTGACAAAGTCTGCCGTGCACATTGTGGCAAATTCAGGAAAGAGTAATCTTTTCAGCAACTGTTTATAGATATATTTTGACAAGGCAAATTTGTGTAAAAGCAAACCGGCTGTTACCAAATGCAGGGTATGTTAGTATGGTATTTTAGGACGTAGGCAGTCTGTTCGCACAAATAAAGTGGTCAGAGTTTGGTCCCGTGTGTCAGAAAGAAAATCTGAAGTCTTAGTTGCAAAAAAAAAAAAAAAAAACAAACAAACAAAACCAAACCAACCGAACCCCTAAAAACTTAGCACATCCTCGAGCCTTTTTACATAAAACGGATTCAGGAGGAATCCACAGTCAACTTAAAATACTGTTGGAGAATTAAATAGCCTAAAATAGATACTTGTGTGCATTTGAAGTTGGATTCATTAAGGGAGGAAGGGTTTATTTTTCTCCCATCCCTTGGTCCTTCAAATGAAGGCAAGATTTTGGAGGATAGGTTTTGGGGGTTTTTTTGTCTTTCAAATACGTTAACCCCTGCAATTAATTAGACTGATAGCTGAAAGAAATCCAGAAAAAGCTTCAATCCTAAAATTAAACAAGTTATTTCTTCCTCTTATTTTTACTTTTGGTGCCCTTCCCCGTACTGTGCATGTCTGTAGAGTTCCCAGATGTCTGGGATTGTGTTGTGCCGCTGCGACTGGCTGTAACGGAGCAGCCGTGAGGAGAAAATCCTGACGTGCTCTGCTGGTCCTCGTCGGGATGGGTGAGATACAGGCACGGCCTTCCTCGGCTCACTGCTGCAGAAACAGGCACTGGACCTGTGCATTGCTGCAGTTTCATGCTGCTGTTAGAATTGGTTTGTGGGAGCGTAAACTAACGCAAAATGGGAAATCCAGAGTGGAGTTGTAAAGTATCTCACAGTTTTGAGTTATGGGAAGGAATCGGCCTTTTGTTTCTCCATCAGGTTTTATTCTCTCCTTCCATCTCTACCAAAGAAAAAAACCAGAGAACTGGGGAGTGAAGAGATTTTGTTTTTTTCTAGTGAAAACTATCATTTAATTAAGATCCAGAAACTACTGTGGAGTATATTTATGAAATAAATAAGTACAAACTTCTGCTTCTGAATAAGAGCAAGTGAAGCTATATTAAGAGATGGAAAAATGCTACTTGGGTATGTTTTTATCTTTTTACATAGTTCTAAAATGAAGGGAAGGCTTGAACATAAATTGTGAAAGACGTTTGTAATACTTTACGATGTTCTAAAATCTGTGCTTTCATTCTGAGAGAAAATATTTAATCGAGAGGTTTATTCCCATCAGTTCTAATTTTTCCATAGCAGGCCTTGCACACCAAGAAAAACAGTGTTCCCACACCAAGAAAAATGACCCTGTAAAATGCAGTAACAGAGCCACCAACAATATATGCCATAGCACATGAAGTCAGATTCTCCACTGCGGTACTTGCAGCAGTATTATATTAACATGAAACTCAGTAGTTGTGCATAAAGCTGGAGCTATATAAGAGAACATAATTTGAAAAGAAGCACAATGCTGTAAACAGCTTTTTACTTTTAATCTCCTTGCTCCTGTCCTTGCCCCCCTCCTCAATAAGCATGCAAGCAATTACGGCGTGTCAGAAATGTTCTCTGAGCCCTACCAGAAGAAATACATTCTGCGGCTTATAAACGGTTGCACTAAAGTCGCTCTCCAAGCCGTGTGTGGAGTCCTTTACAGGGCTGAGCTCTTAATTTTCTCCTAAGATCCACAGCCCAACACGATGAGAAGTTCAGAAACGGCGTGCTGCCTGTTGCCTTTGCTGGGGTGCATTTCAGCCCTTTCAAGGTTTGTGTGTTCCTGCTGCCCCTTTTACTGGATTCAGGCAAATTGCAAAATCATCTCCAGTCACATACAGTGGCGTATTTCAGCTTTCTCAGTTTAAGTAGGACTCAAGCTGTTTACTTTGGGAGAGTTTTAGGCTGAGTTTTTTAAAGCAGCTTGGAGCTCTGGAGCTTTACGTTCGGTTAGTTCTAATAGGGAATTGATCATCTAAATCATCTTTGAAAAACTGTCGATTCAGTGTTTTTCAGTCGTGTTTTCCAGACTGTTCTTAGCCTATATAGGATGCCAGTAAGTGGATGTACATCATAGATTTAATACAATCACTACGTCCTTCTCTGCCTTAAGAGCAGTTTGTACATTACACAACTTGCAGAGCAGGTGGCTTGTGAATGAAGCAGGCTGATTCTCTGGAAACCGAAATCTCTTTTGGCGAGGCTGTTGCTCATCGCAGACGATGCTGTTTTGTGCCTTTTGACAGTGATAGTAAAACCTGCCTGTTCTCATCAGTCCTTGCTGTATAGGTTCTTAGTTAAAGCTCACCCTTACCATTAGCATATGTTCTTCCAGTTATGCACTAAGCTTTACGAATGACTGAGACCATGTGCAGTTCATTCTCTCGTCTCCCAAAGGGAGAGAATTATGTGTGCTCTTTAGTGGTTTTGCTAGTGGGCTGTGGCTTGTTCCAGGATCTAGGGGGAAGGAACGGTGATTAGCTTTACGTGTGCTGCTGCTGCTGCATGCATGGAAGCAAAGGATAAAACGGGAAACAAGGGTGAAGGAGTGAGACTGCTGTTGTGAGCAGAGAACAATTTGCTGTTGTCCGTTGCTCCCAGGGGAGATTCTTCCACCTTCGAAACCTGGCTCCAGGAAAACTGCAGAAAGTATCAATTAAGCTTCTTT